AAGAGTGTATTTTTCGGGATCACGCGTCTGTCACAAACAAAAGTCACCCTCCGTAACGTTTTTACCTCATCGAATTACTTCACAATGGACAGCACGACCCCTTTCGAGCCCCATTCTTTACCCCTCGCGAGTGAGTCTCCCTCTCTCTCCTCGCGTACACACAAAACATAATTATCCGAAATCCCAAACAGCATGAAAATTTTATCGGCGCTTTTGATAGACACGGCCCATTGAGAGAGAGAAGCATCGTCTCATAATTAATTATAAGCCGAATTAAAAAATTCTGCCGCGGATAGATTTTATCGAATCATAGTTTTCTTTGCGCTATTCACGAAACGGTAGACTTCAAACATCGCTTCTCGCAGATTAACTTAATTTGATGGAATTTTAAATCAAAACTTCATCGCGTTAAAATGCATTGAAGAGCTTCTTTCAACGTAACCATGTTCACAAGTACACGCACGCAGATCTATAGAGTACGATTATATCTCTTACGTATAACGTCGGAAGTACAATATAATCCTCGCTATCTTGAAGGATCATCTACATATTATATACGATATAAAGTGTTGTTATTATTATATACATTATTATCATTATGTAGTTTTCTTAATTCATGCGCAAAAAAAATTTACTTAGTCTACTATACTTTTTTAATAATTAAACTCTATGTGCAATCTTTTAGAGAGTGTCCTCTTTAATCTTTAGATCAATATAAATTTTGCATACTTGCATTAATATATAAAAAGAGAAACTATATATATTATACTATATAATAAGAAATCTTTCTCAAATGAATATCTTGCCTCTTCAGAAGCAATTTCTTGCTAAATTGTGAGCGGAAAGATAAAAATAAACAAATTGCAGACTTTCGTACTAAGGACTGCTATTTTAATGTGTGAATATGCCCTAATCGTATCGTGCACACACATGTGCGACTATACGCGATAGTAATCACCGAGATGCACGAGTCGCGATAGGAAACCTCGAAACGGCAGTTAAAGTCGATTGTACCCCGTAACATCCATGTGTACGCCAGGCACGATATGAAATATTTATACCATCGTGACGATTACAACATCACGTAACCGCGGACGGAAAGTACGATGATTACATTTACTTTTGCCAGAGAAAGAGAGAGAGAGAGAGAGAGAGATAGAGGAAAAGAGGGAATCGCGTTACTATCAGTTAACAACGTTCGTTGTAGTGTATTAGCATAGCTGCGCAAATCGAGGGACTCGATGAAGCGGTAAAAAAATCCAAAGGAATTTTGCCGGCTCAGTAATTATACCTGTAAAAGTTACACGACAATTGAAATCTCAACAGCGCGATGTTGATAATTATTTCCAATTCGCGATTGCTTCTTTAATTAACGATAATTAATAATTAAGTTGTATTTTTGTATTCACGTTGTTGCCGAAACGATTTTACTTTGTCGAAGTATTCAATGGTTTCATCATCGAATTATTTAATTCTGAATTATGAAGTTACAATTGTAATATCACAATTTTTATCGAATATTTACAGTCCCATGTCACGTTCATTTAAGTGACTTTATCTCTCTAACATCAGCCTTATACAACTTATTCGCTTAAGTAATTAACTTGCGGTACGCTTCGTACTTAGAGAACGTAAAGTGATTACAAGTCGTCCTATTTTCTCGCCTAACTCGTGTAAAACGTATAACTTATATGAATTTCACTCTCGCAAGGGGTTTTCTTTCTATTCCGCGTTTCTAACACGTTTAGACTAACGAGTTGTGCAGAAGGTACATGTTACTCGTTAAAAATGCATTCTCGCGTGTTATATTCTTTCTCGCCGTGGCTTTGCCCGACGCTGTGTGCAGTTTCCGTCCTTTTTTCGCGCCTATCCGCCTATCAATATACACGCACTGTGTACACGCACGAAATCGGTAAGCCGCGATATATATGCTGATTTTTAAATAACATCCCTTAGACAGGTCATCCCAACAGCGATTCGCGGTGAACTCGCTTTGAACATCAAAGTCAAAAAAATAATTACGTTATATATTTATTACTCCTTCTACGCATTTTGAATCCGTGACGTTTTTAATTTATCACGTGGCAATTTACATTTATGTTGGTATTCATTATGAATTTCTATATTGCTACCAGTTGTAGAGAATTACTAGCATACTGATAAAATTTTACAGAAACGAATTGAAATACTATATAAAAAATTAAGCGAAAAAAATATTTTACATTCTATAAATGCTTTGCTTTAGAAAAAAAGAAAAATTGACTTGAAAAAGAATATCGTTTTAAAATATCTTCGGAAGAATTCTCTTTTTTTATAGATATCATGTATATGTGTGCCTATTCTATGTACAATTGCAGAGTTTATCAATACGACCCTCCTTAAGAATTTGTAAGTTTAAAAAATTCTTCAACTCATTTGTACACGAGCAATTAACTGCTAATTCAGTTTTATCAAAAATAAATGTGCGCCGAACTATTTAACAATTATACCGTAATTATTAATTTTTCGCGTGTATTACGTATATGAATATGATGTCAATTATTCGCGTAACATAAGTAGGGAATAGTACAGGTAAAAAGGATAGGTAACATCCGGAATATCCGGATATTCGAACACCCAAATGTCGTTAGCTCTAGTAGAAGCATTCGTATCCGGGGTTGACGTTGTGTTTCCGGGAGCTCCCCGGAGGCCGGTAATCTCTTCCCTCCTTCGGACACATTACGGTGAACGCGCGCGTTTCCGTGACTTTTTAATCGGCCGAAGCAGGCCGAAGCAGGCGTAGCGAGCTGCTCGTTTCGTCCCTGGCCGAGTCGAGTGAATAATTCACCTCGATCGATCCGCTCCCGCGTGCGCGGCGGCGGCAGCGGTGATGTCGGCGGAATTAATTTAAGTAATTCGACGATCGCTATCGATGGAAGCATTAAATAAAGCACCGTGCGCGTCCCGCTTTGGCCGCGCGTTTAGATTGTAGATCCGCCCTCCGTGCCCTCCGTTTCCATGCTTGCGCAAGCCATCGTTGCATACCTAAGTGGTTGATCAGGATGAGTGGTGGGTCGTCCATCCATTTCCACGCTTGTCATTACGTCAAGGAGACGCGACATATCGCGATTGTTTGCCGACTGTTCCACCCCCGCCCGCCACTACTTGTCACCACAAAAATGACGATTCCCGTTTCCCCGAGACGCGAGCACTTTCGCGACGATATTATTACTGCGGTCTCGCTTATGATTGACCAAACGTCGACGCTAACTCCTTAATGTCGAATGAAAAATATATATTCATTGGCCGATGAAGGCTTATATGGCGAGAGCGTCACGATTGCGACGTTTCGGACGTAATAATGTCCTCTCTCAAAGTAAAGAGATAGTCTAGCGGAAATAATTGCCTTTAGAATTGTGAATTATTACTTTATTGCTTTAATCGCTATATCATTTTTTAATACCATACTTGCTTAAAAATATATTGCTTAAAAATATATTATAGGATATGTTTCTATCTTTTTTCATTGAGTAAAGGAGAAATATACGAGGATACAGATCTGGTTTAAAGAAATCGGCGCGCGTTTTGGATTTTATATAAGCGTAACTTTGTTTATTTATTCTCACTCGGAAAAGCTAATTACATTAAAATATTTTATCGTTGCAGGAACGGGAGGCTGAAAAGATTGCCGAAGAAACCGCGGCTCTACGTGACGTGAAGACGGAATTGCCGCCGGCGAGAAGTCCCGAGAGCTGGCACGGCAACGCTTACTATCGACATCTCAATGTTCTGAAGGGTAAGCGCGAGATCTGTCGTGCTTTTAGATTAGCGTTTAAAACTCGAGAGAAACTCTCTCTTTTACGTTGAATCGAATCACTGAGAATTATATTTTCACCCCTCAAACACTCATTTTCAATAAAGTTGAATTAGCAGTTAATTGTTCGTGTACAAGTGAGTTAAAGAATTTTTCAAACTTACAAACTTTTAAAAGGAGAGGGGTCGTATTGATAAACTCTGCAATTGTGCATAGAATAAGCATACATATATATAATATTGATAAAGAGAGTTCTCTCTCTTCCGAAAATATTTTAAATATTCTTTTTCAAGTCAACTTTTCTTTTTTTCTAAAGCAAAGCATTCATAGAGAACGTAAAATAATTTTTTCGCTAATATTTGATATCGCATTTTTTTGCTAATATTTGATATCGCATTTTAATTCAGTTCTGTAGAATTTTATCAGTATGCTAATAATTCTCCACAATTGTTAGCAATATAAAAATTCATAATAAATACTAACAAAAATATAAATTACCATGTGATAAATTGAAAACGTCACGGATTCAAAATGCGTAGATAAAATAATTTCTGAAATTTCTACTCGAGATGACATTTCCAATTAACATCGCACGGAGATATAATTCAAGATTCCTCGCGGTTCCCTTTCCTCTTGTCTCCGATCAATGTAGCGGAAAATCGCGTGTTTTTGCAAGCAGCCTCATGCACTATGTTTATAGTTATTCTCGCATGAATAATCGAGAGCTTCGGCTACGGGATTGAGAGCTTTATTGTCTGGATGCATCGCATCTTGTGTAAAACGCGCTTTATTGATAATAGTAATTAATTAGTAACTACCATGGAAATCAAGCGTTCCGGCGAGAATATCGGAGTTCCAATTAATTAGAGTAATTAGTCGCGACCGGAGTGTTAAGTGGAAACGCGCGGAGGGTTGCCTTGATATCCTGACGCGGGGATGGAAGGGGCTGGATCTTCTCCAGGCTGTAATAACGCGGAAATGGGGTTGCGGGTGGACCCCGTCGTTCGGCCAAGGGGCGTGATTTGCGCCGACGCTTGCGCGTATCTACTTCCGTCGGCGTCGCGACGCCCGACGACTCCGAATCCGACGACACGACGACTCACGGTGTGCGTTTCCTTCTAATTTACATTAACGTCGCGACCGTGGCGGATAACTATTTCCAGGCGAGCGGATACGAATCTGAATTTAAGGGAATGGACGAATTTAAATATGTATTAATTATAAAATGCGTTGTGTGTCAAAAAAATTATGTCATTGAAAGAAATAATTTTGTAATTTTATAAGATATTAAGTACGAGAATTTCTTTTAAGCGAGTATCATACGATGTAACGTATGAAATGTAACTAAAATTCTGAGAAGGAAAATTTAGCCTATAGTCAAATTCCGTAAATTATTAAAAAAAAAAAAACAAATTTTGATTTGTTTTTCTCTTAAAATATCAATGATGTTCTCTCTTACTTTACGGAAATATTCTACTTGATACTGTACAATGATATAATATGTAAGCACAGAAAGCATGGTTGCAAATAGGAACGCACGTTTCAGACGAGATCGCTTTTACGTACCCGTATATACACGTGTATATCGCCGGGAGTATATCGATGGACCCATTCAACGCGGGCGTAAGCCGAAAATAACGAGATAGGTGCTGCATCGGCGCGATGAATACGAATACAGGATCATTGGCGGTGAACGCAGGCACTTTGACTAACGTACAGCCTCCGGAAAAAGCTCGCGCTTCCCGATTTCCTTCTTTTCCTTCTCTACGCGATCTTTTCAGAACTGCTTTCAAGCCTTCCATGCGAAAAGCGAATCGATCCTCTCGTCCGACTGAGCGCAAATTAAAATGAGGCTAATTGGCTTGATGAATCCTTCGTGTTTATTGAATGTACTTTCTTAACTAATTTCATTGACATATTTATCATTAGAAAACGATATTGAAAGACTTATGGTTAAGATTATTAGTCGTTATTGAATTTGCTGAGTTATTACTGATTTTATTTCATGCGATGCTGCTCTCTCTTTCTCTCTCTCTCTCTTTCGCATCTTATTTTAAATCTTATTTTAATTATATAATATTTTGAACATTTTATGTGTGAATACAGCTATATAGTTACAAATTTCACATACACGTCACATTAAACTTAATTAAAGTTTTACTTTGTCATTAATATACTCTAAATATCTTTACATTGCTTTTTTGATTCTTTTTTATTTTTAAAAATGAAAATCAGATGTTCAGAAAAAAATACATACAAGAAAACTAATATATCTTTCGTGTTTTCTAAATTTCTCAAGTTTCTCATATGTTGTTTCGTCGGATCAAATACTATACGTTCTCGCCGGACTAGTTAAGTCTTCTACTACTGATCTATTTATCACCGACCTTGTTACGCTTCTTTCGAAGAAAAACAATGATGTTTGCGTAGAGTTAATTTTACATAACGTAATCCATCCCTCGGAGTTTACGAACACTGCGAAGCTTCGCTAATTACCGGATGATAATTATTGTAGGGAACGAGCCGGGAGCGGAAAGGGCGGGTTCCGATTGCTCGGCTTGCCGTCCTACGCGCGGTATATTTTACGGCCAAGTCCACAGTCCGTCCGCGCCGACCAATTAATCGAGCTGGCTGGCTGGATTAATCGACACGCAGGAGCAGCAGTGCACGAAGAGGAGGAGGAGGAGGAAGAAAAGGTGACGGAGGAGATGAAGGATGTGCATTTAATCCGAACCGTTCCGTAAGCTTGCGATACGTCCGTTGCCTTAAAGCGCACTCGTCGGATCTCTTTATTCTCGAATTTAAGGGCTCGACGCACAACAATGATTTGACATGCTTTCTTAAAAAACTTGAGAAAATTAATCTTAAAATTGACAAAATTACTGAATTCAAAAATTAATCAAAATTGAAGAAATTTAAATTATTTTATTGATTAAAATTAACAATTAATTTGTATTCAATTTTCGATGAATATATTAAGTTTAAATTTACTTTAGATTAGTTTTCTCAATTTTTTAGAAAGATCCGTTTAAAACATAGTGTTGCACCGAACCCTTTAAATTTGTAACTCGCTATACGTTACGCGGCATCGCTGAAACGGGAGCCCAGTTTTGTAATCGTAAGGCTCTTATTTGCCCAAGATGTGGACCCATTACTAGCAAATGTTAGGTAATATTTCGTCTCACGCGTTTTTTGTGATATCGGCATAGAAGCAGACATCAATTTTATCGCGTCGTCAAGTCGGCGACCTCTTGTCACGTCCGGTAATGGATCTCGACTTGGAAAGACAACAGCTCGTTTTAGCAGGACGTTTACGCGTCTCGCGTCCTTTTACGGCGAACAGATCGATCGAATCGAGAAGTTTTGCGAGCACTCGTTGTGAACATAGAGCGACTCTAGAATAACGTTCGCTGGAGATCATTCTATTGCGTCATATATAGATAGAACGGGAAAGGAAATCGCGAATCATGATATTTATGAATCTCCAAGCGGATTTTTGTTAATCTAGTCTCATGTTAAACGCCAATTGCTATCATTTTCTAGCGCAATTCGCAAAAAGCTATAAGTATAACATGCTCCCACATCTGTAAGGCAAAAATATGGATAAAGATAAACGTGTCTTTTACATAACATGAAAATGATAGTTGAAATGATTTATATTTTACAATTAATTCTTTGATTATTTTCTCTGGTAATAAAATCAATAATAGATTTAAAAAAAAACATTTTTAACGCTTTTGAATTTTTGTCTAAATAAAATGTATTCATTACGCGATTCCTTCATGAATTTTTATTGCTTTCTTTTGTTAAATTGAGTGCGATTGTAAAAATAAATCAATACCATATTAGAGATTTTTCATAATAAGATTATTATATAAATATTAAAAAAAACGACAATTATTATTGTCGAAAACTAATCATTAAATCGCAATTATTTTTAATTGATTTGTGATATTAATTCATTATATCGAATTATATTTATTATATCGATTTTTTTTTCGACTAGAAATTAATTTAACCCAGAATTTGAGTCATATCACGAATAATATATCAGAGATAAATTCGGCGTACTATATTAACAATAATCTGCCGCAGTTTCTCCGAGAATTTCGTCGCAACGCCGATAATCGCTCCCGGCATCGAACAGCCAGTGTAGCTTAGGATCGATAGATAAACACTTATCGCGAGAACGATATACACAGTGCAATTATACTTCGTCGTGTAATCCATTTAGACAAATCGATCGAGGTAAATTGAACGGATACAAACGAATAATATTAGAGGAAAAAAAAAAAGAACCCCTCGCGCGCTTTTATGCCGTAGGCTGCAGCTGTAAGTATTGCCGTTCGTAGAGTAATATATAATAAATTGCATAATTGAACATATTGTAGATGACAGCGTGTGTGAAAACCCACGAGTGTAATCCAAGGTTTCAATAAAAGATGTTGATCGCTAGAAGAGTCATGCGAAGGGGCAAGGATGGATGGGGGGGAGGGGCGCAATTACCCTCAACCTCCGTCAGTGAGAGTCTGTAATGTTACGTAACACAGATGTAATCTTGCTATGTAATATCATATTTCTCCAAATTTTTCTTTAGTTAAGAATTATACTCTCCTTAGTAACAATAAAAAAATTATAATAACAATATACCACTGGATATTGATGATAATAGGAGAAAAAAATAGCACAAATTAAAAAATTTTATTTCTCTTAGTCTGGTTTATCTTAAGGATAATAACCATAGTTTTATCAAAGTTTCGTTTCACGATACTTTCATCAATTTGCATGAAACTTTCATGCAGATCGCGCAATTGCTGGCATCAATACATCATCGCGACGATCGAGACTGTAATACATTATCGGAGCCAGCGACACGTCTCCGAGGAAACAAATCTTTTTCAATTACTGGAGAAACGACTGTGTGTTGTGCATTGTACAGGAGATACACGGCGTAATCTTCGGTCGTCTCTTATATCCCGGCCCCGTGCAAAATCCTTGGGGAGCCCTCTCGCTTACGTGGTACGTGAGGACGCTCCAGTGAGCAAAAACCCTTAACTGATACAGCCCTGCTGCGGTCCCCGAACAGTCGTCAGCAGAATTTCGGATCTCGACCACACATGGTACTTTTTTACGCATCGCTCTCAAAAATATCACTGTCGCAAGCACAAAAAGCCTCAATGCACGATTGATAAAATTATATACCCGATCCGCAAATGTAACTTTATTAGAATATTAGGCATTTATGGAAAGTGTCATATTGTTTTTTCGTAAAGAAAAATTATGTTAGTCTATAACTTCTTAACATTATCCATTGATTTATTCGATATAAATATCGAAAGAAGATTCTAAAATAATATTTATTATCAGTCGAGACATTTTTTAATTTTTACATCTCAATTTTATTATCCCTTTTCTTGATATTTATAATTAAAAAAAAAAAAAAAAAAAACAGTTTCGATAAAGTTTAACGACTTTTACTTTAAATCTTATTATATAATTTTTATAAACTTTTACATGTTACTCTTCCGAGATATAATTCAAGATTCCTCGCGGTTCCCTTTCCTCTTGTCTCCGATCAATGTAGCGGAAAATCGCGTGTTTTTGCAAGCAGCCTCATGCACTATGTTTATAGTTATTCTCGCATGAATAATCGAGAGCTTCGGCTACGGGATTGAGAGCTTTATTGTCTGGATGCATCGCATCTTGTGTAAAACGCGCTTTATTGATAATAGTAATTAATTAGTAACTACCATGGAAATCAAGCGTTCCGGCGAGAATATCGGAGTTCCAATTAATTAGAGTAATTAGTCGCGACCGGAGTGTTAAGTGGAAACGCGCGGAGGGTTGCCTTGATATCCTGACGCGGGGATGGAAGGGGCTGGATCTTCTCCAGGCTGTAATAACGCGGAAATGGGGTTGCGGGTGGACCCCGTCGTTCGGCCAAGGGGCGTGATTTGCGCCGACGCTTGCGCGTATCTACTTCCGTCGGCGTCGCGACGCCCGACGACTCCGAATCCGACGACACGACGACTCACGGTGTGCGTTTCCTTCTAATTTACATTAACGTCGCGACCGTGGCGGATAACTATTTCCAGGCGAGCGGATACGAATCTGAATTTAAGGGAATGGACGAATTTAAATATGTATTAATTATAAAATGCGTTGTGTGTCAAAAAAATTATGTCATTGAAAGAAATAATTTTGTAATTTTATAAGATATTAAGTACGAGAATTTCTTTTAAGCGAGTATCATACGATGTAACGTATGAAATGTAACTAAAATTCTGAGAAGGAAAATTTAGCCTATAGTCAAATTCCGTAAATTATTAAAAAAAAAAAAACAAATTTTGATTTGTTTTTCTCTTAAAATATCAATGATGTTCTCTCTTACTTTACGGAAATATTCTACTTGATACTGTACAATGATATAATATGTAAGCACAGAAAGCATGGTTGCAAATAGGAACGCACGTTTCAGACGAGATCGCTTTTACGTACCCGTATATACACGTGTATATCGCCGGGAGTATATCGATGGACCCATTCAACGCGGGCGTAAGCCGAAAATAACGAGATAGGTGCTGCATCGGCGCGATGAATACGAATACAGGATCATTGGCGGTGAACGCAGGCACTTTGACTAACGTACAGCCTCCGGAAAAAGCTCGCGCTTCCCGATTTCCTTCTTTTCCTTCTCTACGCGATCTTTTCAGAACTGCTTTCAAGCCTTCCATGCGAAAAGCGAATCGATCCTCTCGTCCGACTGAGCGCAAATTAAAATGAGGCTAATTGGCTTGATGAATCCTTCGTGTTTATTGAATGTACTTTCTTAACTAATTTCATTGACATATTTATCATTAGAAAACGATATTGAGAGACTTATGGTTAAGATTATTAGTCGTTATTGAATTTGCTGAGTTATTACTGACTTTATTTCATACGATGCTGCTCTCTCTTTCTCTCTCTCTTTCGCATCTTATTTTAAATCTTATTTTAATTATATAATATTTTGAACATTTTATGTGTGAATACAGCTATATAGTTACAAATTTCACATACACGTCACATTAAACTTAATTAAAGTTTTACTTTGTCATTAATATACTCTAAATATCTTTACATTGCTTTTTTGATTCTTTTTTATTTTTAAAAATGAAAATCAGATGTTCAGAAAAAAATACATACAAGAAAACTAATATATCTTTCGTGTTTTCTAAATTTCTCAAGTTTCTCATATGTTGTTTCGTCGGATCAAATACTATACGTTCTCGCCGGACTAGTTAAGTCTTCTACTACTGATCTATTTATCACCGACCTTGTTACGCTTCTTTCGAAGAAAAACAATGATGTTTGCGTAGAGTTAATTTTACATAACGTAATCCATCCCTCGGAGTTTACGAACACTGCGAAGCTTCGCTAATTACCGGATGATAATTATTGTAGGGAACGAGCCGGGAGCGGAAAGGGCGGGTTCCGATTGCTCGGCTTGCCGTCCTACGCGCGGTATATTTTACGGCCAAGTCCACAGTCCGTCCGCGCCGACCAATTAATCGAGCTGGCTGGCTGGATTAATCGACACGCAGGAGCAGCAGTGCACGAAGAGGAGGAGGAGGAGGAAGAAAAGGTGACGGAGGAGATGAAGGATGTGCATTTAATCCGAACCGTTCCGTAAGCTTGCGATACGTCCGTTGCCTTAAAGCGCACTCGTCGGATCTCTTTATTCTCGAATTTAAGGGCTCGACGCACAACAATGATTTGACATGCTTTCTTAAAAAACTTGAGAAAATTAATCTTAAAATTGACAAAATTACTGAATTCAAAAATTAATCAAAATTGAAGAAATTTAAATTATTTTATTGATTAAAATTAACAATTAATTTGTATTCAATTTTCGATGAATATATTAAGTTTAAATTTACTTTAGATTAGTTTTCTCAATTTTTTAGAAAGATCCGTTTAAAACATAGTGTTGCACCGAACCCTTTAAATTTGTAACTCGCTATACGTTACGCGGCATCGCTGAAACGGGAGCCCAGTTTTGTAATCGTAAGGCTCTTATTTGCCCAAGATGTGGACCCATTACTAGCAAATGTTAGGTAATATTTCGTCTCACGCGTTTTTTGTGATATCGGCATAGAAGCAGACATCAATTTTATCGCGTCGTCAAGTCGGCGACCTCTTGTCACGTCCGGTAATGGATCTCGACTTGGAAAGACAACAGCTCGTTTTAGCAGGACGTTTACGCGTCTCGCGTCCTTTTACGGCGAACAGATCGATCGAATCGAGAAGTTTTGCGAGCACTCGTTGTGAACATAGAGCGACTCTAGAATAACGTTCGCTGGAGATCATTCTATTGCGTCATATATAGATAGAACGGGAAAGGAAATCGCGAATCATGATATTTATGAATCTCCAAGCGGATTTTTGTTAATCTAGTCTCATGTTAAACGCCAATTGCTATCATTTTCTAGCGCAATTCGCGAAAAGCTATAAGTATAACATGCTCCCACATCTGTAAGGCAAAAATATGGATAAAGATAAACATGTCTTTTACATAACATGAAAATGATAGTTGAAATGATTTATATTTTACAATTAATTCTTTGATTATTTTCTCTGGTAATAAAATCAATAATAGATTTAAAAAAAAACATTTTTAACGCTTTTGAATTTTTGTCTAAATAAAATGTATTCATTACGCGATTCCTTCATGAATTTTTATTGCTTTCTTTTGTTAAATTGAGTGCGATTGTAAAAATAAATCAATACCATATTAGAGATTTTTCATAATAAGATTATTATATAAATATTTAAAAAAACGACAATTATTATTGTCGAAAACTAATCATTAAATCGCAATTATTTTTAATTGATTTGTGATATTAATTCATTATATCGAATTATATTTATTATATCGATTTTTTTTTCGACTAGAAATTAATTTAACCCAGAATTTGAGTCATATCACGAATAATATATCAGAGATAAATTCGGCGTACTATATTAACAATAATCTGCCGCAGTTTCTCCGAGAATTTCGTCGCAACGCCGATAATCGCTCCCGGCATCGAACAGCCAGTGTAGCTTAGGATCGATAGATAAACACTTATCGCGAGAACGATATACACAGTGCAATTATACTTCGTCGTGTAATCCATTTAGACAAATCGATCGAGGTAAATTGAACGGATACAAACGAATAATATTAGAGGAAAAAAAAAAAAGATCCCTCGCGCGCTTTTATGCCGTAGGCTGCAGCTGTAAGTATTGCCGTTCGTAGAGTAATATATAATAAATTGCATAATTGAACATATTGTAGATGACAGCGTGTGTGAAAACCCACGAGTGTAATCCAAGGTTTCAATAAAAGATGTTGATCGCTAGAAGAGTCATGCGAAGGGGCAAGGATGGATGGGGGGGAGGGGCGCAATTACCCTCAACCTCCGTCAGTGAGAGTCTGTAATGTTACGTAACACAGATGTAATCTTGCTATGTAATATCATATTTCTCCAAATTTTTCTTTAGTTAAGAATTATACTCTCCTTAGTAACAATAAAAAAATTATAATAACAATATACCACTGGATATTGATGATAATAGGAGAAAAAAATAGCACAAATTAAAAAATTTTATTTCTCTTAGTCTGGTTTATCTTAAGGATAATAACCATAGTTTTATCAAAGTTTCGTTTCACGATACTTTCATCAATTTGCATGAAACTTTCATGCAGATCGCGCAATTGCTGGCATCAATACATCATCGCGACGATCGAGACTGTAATACATTATCGGAGCCAGCGACACGTCTCCGAGGAAACAAATCTTTTTCAATTACTGGAGAAACGACTGTGTGTTGTGCATTGTACAGGAGATACACGGCGTAATCTTCGGTCGTCTCTTATATCCCGGCCCCGTGCAAAATCCTTGGGGAGCCCTCTCGCTTACGTGGTACGTGAGGACGCTCCAGTGAGCAAAAACCCTTAACTGATACAGCCCTGCTGCGGTCCCCGAACAGTCGTCAGCAGAATTTCGGATCTCGACCACACATGGTACTTTTTTACGCATCGCTCTCAAAAATATCACTGTCGCAAGCACAAAAAGCCTCAATGCACGATTGATAAAATTATATACCCGATCCGCAAATGTAACTTTATTAGAATATTAGGCATTTATGGAAAGTGTCATATTGTTTTTTCGTAAAGAAAAATTATGTTAGTCTATAACTTCTTAACATTATCCATTGATTTATTCGATAGAAATATCGAAAGAAGATTCTAAAATAATATTTATTATCAGTCGAGACATTTTTTAATTTTTACATCTCAATTTTATTATCCCTTACGAGAATATTATGTCTATTTATAATTAAAAAAAAAAAAAAAAAAAAACAAATTATTAAAAGTTCGAAGAATAATCATAATACAGCTTTGAATTATATGATATTGTATTCAATGACTCTTCAATCTCTTTGACATTTATTTCGCGCGAATTATGGCACAAAAGTAAGAATAGAGAAATTTTTCTCCTAAAAGAGAGAAATATTACACTCAAAGTTTCTACACGAATTTTATAAAATATCGGTACTGATAATATTGGATCATGGAAGAAGAGAGAGAATGTCAATAATGGATGCTCGTCGCAGAAACATCGTCTGCGTCTAATGTTCCGGCAAATTGGCTTCGCGAATGTAGCCTCGCGAGGAGGTCGCCTCCCGGGAGGAATCTGCAAATACGAGGAGCTGAACAGATTCTTTTCGTTGCGCCGATTTTTTCTCCCGTAAGTACGTCACGTCTCGACGATACCGGGGATATCCGTCGGCGCGTCTCGTCGGAATCGGTTCCGTTTCGCGGAGACGACCCCGTAACTAGCAGAATTTGTAAGGAAACGAGAGATGAGGATCTTTTTGCGCGTATGTGAGCGTTCTCATGACTGCGCAAAAGATTGCTTGTGAAGAAAGAAAGCACGCAACCAAAAGGGGAGGTCAAAAATAGAGCACCTTTAATTAATAGCGGTAAGTCAAATTAGTCGGCGTGTTAAGAAATGGAAGTAAAAAATATGGCAAAATATCGTTCCAATAAAACATTTAAAAATTCTATATACACACCTTTCCATTCTTATAATTTTATTATATAGTTTGATTTTCTTTCTACATAATTTATTTAAATACGTTTTATCACACAAGCTTAGGAATAGAGATCTGTATGTAAATCAATCTTCATGTTTTCGAAAAAATAAATAATGTCCGAAAAAGAACGTAAATTAAAATTCGAGAGAAAAATCGCCGATAGTATCGCGAATCGATTGGTTTCACGGCACTTATATGTGCTTCCATCTCGCTCAAAGGTCGCGTATAACGAGCCGCGATTTAAATACGCGCTCCAATCGTCCACAATGAAGATGTCGGGGCGGCGGGTATTTAAAGAAACATTTTAATTGCAGGAAGTAAGCCGCTTACGTGTTCCCTCTTTCGTACGTTAATAAAAACAGCCCCATCCGTCTATTTCAAGAAAGCGGCCGAGCCGTTCGGGTATTGTGTGCCCCGTGGAAAGTAATTCGACCTGTTCTCGTTTCACCCCCGGCCAAAAATTATGTCCACCACCGTCGCTCGCTTTGAGAAAAAAAAAACCAGCTAGATTGGAAGTTGCAATTCCACGCTATAGTCGAGGGTTGAAAAATCTTCTTAACTAGATATTTTCGCCAAGTGAGATCTTATGTGTATAAATCCTGGTATAAAATCTTTTACAAATTGTAAAAACTGCTAAAAAATTTTATCGATTATGTCAGTATATTGCCTAATAATGTGTTCTTTATATCTCTAAAAAAATTTTTTTTTTTATTTTTTAATACAACTCCATTTCTTCGCGAGAGAGCGCAATTTCAACGTCTCGTCCCTCCGGATAAAATCGCGCTCGGTCTCCCGAGGGACGTAGATTTAAGCTTCCTGGTAACCGCGGCGAGCCTGGCGACGGCTCGGCTGTGAAGAAGAAACGTATAAAGAAGCGGCGCCTCTGTAATTGGGCATCAAAAGGCGATATTTCGCGTCCAGGATGACCGCCACACCGATGGGAGATGAGGAGGGATCGACCGTGACCCGGGCTCGCTCTCGCGGATTCCTACGATACCACGTGGCAAGAAGGGTGGCTCTTTACGATAGGGTAGATTCAACCCCCGGAATGATGATGGTATGCCTTGTTACCGCGGCCGTCGAGAAGAGAGTCGCGCTCCCCCGGGTAATATCGCATACAATTATGTCCACAGAAGGGAAGACATACATGCATTATGGATGCGGTGTACCCGTACCCTGCTGTGCGTACACCCCGTCCCTTTCCTCCCCCTCCCCCTTCCTCCTCCTCGGTAAATCATGTCACAGGGTTGGTTAACTCTGCAAATGATCTGAAGCGCTACGCGCGCCCACGTAATCTTTTTTTTTTCCTTGTTTTTCCTCGCGCTCGCTGTCGATTACATCTCTACATGTGTAACGATCGAAAGATATATATATTAAGATATAAAATAGAATATTGTCTTAGTATTGTAAGTAATTGGGCGCAACTGAAGAATAAGATTCCCGATTAATTGCACGATTGCATTAAATCGAATTTTAGAGTTCGTCAGTTTTATTACATTATTTATAAATAAAATTGAATGAGAAACAATTATTAAAACTTGTTGCATTACGTATGAATCGGCCATTCTAAGTAAGCGATATCTGATACATAAAAAATGATAGAAAAGAATATAAAAAGTTGATTTAATTGATACACTCACATTTCATTCTTTATCGAGATAAATACGGATTGAAAAGACGGAATCTATTCGGAAATACGAAATAAAACCCACGTTGTGACATAGAGCACACTTTATTTCTCAATTAGTATTATAATAATCATTTAGCATTGACCGAAATCGAATATATATATATATCATATATATTTCTCTTTAATCGAGTTTAATATAATCGTAGTAGATTAATTCATTACCAATACAAGTGTAATTAATCGTAATGTATTGTCTGAAAGTATCACTGCATTGCATCCGCTGGTCGCCCCCTTTGCACTCCGTCGAAACGGAGATTAACGGAACCGGCTTGGGGCGGACAGGAAGGGGAGGAGAGGAGAGAGAGGTGCAAGGGATAAATGCATCGAAGGGGAAGAACGGGACACAAGTCGTCAAGAGGACACCAAATTTTTAATACCTGCCCGACCGGGACAATCTCGTGTCTCCCGCGGTTTCCGGATTTTCTGGCGCTTACAAAATATAAGTGGGCCCGGCACATTCCGAAAAACACGAGATTCGTCGCGACAACCCACGCACATACGTACAGAAATAGAGACGTTCGTGTTCAGAGGAGGCTGCAAGGAAAGAAAGAAGAAAGGAAGGAGAGGAGAAAAAATTCGAAAGGGAATTCTAAGAGGAAAAGCTACTTTCTCCGTGACCAAGGATGCTCAGTGATTTGTTTTTTCCATTACGGGGAACGATAGATCCGGCATACGTCCGTTCGATCCCCAAATAGTTAGATTACAATTAGAACGCGGAGAACTCGTCACGCTCGCCCGAGAAACACGTAGTTTCATATTAAAAATTGTCCAGTTAAGTAAAGTATTATTATTATTCGCTCATTATTCCGGGAATGAATGACTGATATTTAAACATTAAATTATTAAATCAATTATTACAAAATATTTTGTGGTACAAATGTAGTTCTTTTGGAGCTCTTCTCCTGTGTCGTTCAATAAAGTATCTATAAAATTGTCAAACGATTAAAAATAATAAACAATAAAAATTAACTTCAAAATTATCTCAAATTACGAAAGGTTAAAAATGTTGAGACGAAAAATGTAATAATAAGCAATAAACACGCGTCTCTCTCGGGCAAAGACGCGTGAGCCTACCACCGAACAATATTCAACATTTAACAATAGCCAACATTTATAGAATAAGATACCGATTTAATATTAATCATTAAGTTCATTCTCTCTCTCTTTCTCTCTCACGATCGCGCCAATCTCGCCGTCTTTATATATCTTCTCTTTTTCTCTTTTCCGAGCGCAGTGTTTCTCAAATTTTATTTTCTCACTATGCCGATCGATGAGAACTCTCGATCAGGGGCGGATTTACATGGACATCGAGAATACTTAAAACTCTTCGTAGCTATTAAGCGATCCTCAAAAGTAATCTCATTCGAAGATATTTGTCGAATTTTTGAAACCGTACACGGTGTCGCAGAGGTACCGCCACTCTTAATCTACTTGAAATATTTATATAGACTAGTTCATATCAATTAAAATTGTTTAAAAAGATCTACTTCATACTAAGCAAAATATATACGGTTTTGTTATTCCTAATTATTTTATTAAAATTATCTGCCTTTTTATATATTTATTAAAATTATATTAAATATTAATTTATATGTGTGTGAAAATTTCTAGACTCTGTCTATCTCTCTCGCAGAGATTATTAATATTCTATTTTTAATATCTACGTTTTTTCGTGGTGGCAGTAGTTTTGGGACATCCTGTAGATTGTGTAGAGAATAAGATTCGTCTCTTCAACACTTCCTCAATGGTTACTTATCGGGGACCTGAACATTCATCTTCGAAAAACTCAGAAGAGTCACCCGCCCCTGCTCTCGACGCAGGATAATTAGCATTTTATTGCTATCATTCTAATTGACAAAGCTTCGCCGGTCATCCACTATATAGATAGAAAACATGATCCCACCACGATCGAATTGTAAGAAATCGATTCTGATTCTTGATTATTCGCACTGGAAATTTAATGAGCATTTTTGTGTCGCAGCTTTTTTAAATTTTTTATATCAAATATTTATATATAAACATTCCAAATTAATTTTTTTATCAATATAAAGTCTATTAAAAATTAACTTTCGGATTATAAGTTCACAAGCTTAATTAAAATTAATTTCAACAATCATTACCTGCGCTTTATGTTATTACGTCATTAATAAGAGTTTATCTTAATAATTCAATTGAATCATCTCGTACATATTCATTTGTATGCGAAAAAAAGCATTAAAAAGCTTCTTAGAAACTATCAATTGCGTATTGTGCGAGTAACCGAGAATAAAAATCATCATTCCCAACATTTACGTTCCGTTTAATGCAAGTATTTTGCTTCGCGCAAACGAAATCGCTGGAACGAAAGTGACGAAGGAGATTTCAACGTGCATCGCCTTGTATAAAGCGAAGATTAATATAAATCTCTGGTATATGTTACACTTCATACGCGTTATCAGCGGAAATAATTATTAGACCGATTCGACATATAATGACACCCGTTCACTTTCATTCCGCTTTGGCCCCTCCGTTCCCATTTCATCTTTACGATGTTTTGAGAAACACTGGTCCAGCAATGCCTCCCCCCCTTCCCCGTTCCCACCGGCTAAACACCGTGATGTTAAACTCTTAATATTGCACAACATCGATAACACCTCGAGTTCCGAAAGGAGTTTCGTTTTATCTCACAGCGAGATTATAGTGTAAGTGAGACTCGCATACGGGGCTTTTTCTCCGCCTTCTACACGGCTTGTTTCTCCGTTTTTACTCGTCGTCTCTCTCAAGTAAAGACTTAACTGGCGACGGTGATAGCAGTGAGTGATGATAACATCGGTGGTATATTAATCGATATATATAGTAATCGTAAACGATTAATTATAAACGAACGTATCTCCGTTACGGCGTGTCGCGCTTGGACAAAGAACATTCTCCGATTTGAGTGTATTTCTAGTACATCTAATATGTTATTTATATAAATACTCTTGTAATGTACTCTCATAAATATTTTGTAATTCCAACGGAATGTAATTAAGAGATTATCGTTATTTCACGCCATCCGTCTTCCCTCATATCGCATACACACTCTACGCTGAATTCTCTACAATTTGTTTAAAAACTGTTTAACTCTACGATCTATTTAGAAAATCTTTATATATCGTCGCTTTAAAAATAATTTAACGAACGACAAAAATTATCTGAATAAGCGTGAAAGCTAAAAATTTTACTGGAAAAACAGACTATCCTATGTCTTCTCTGTATATTTATCTTATTAACATGTATATATGATTCCTATTAAATGAAACACTCAATTCGGAGAACATCACAGAGTCACCCTTCGGGAATCTCCTTCGATTTTAGTAAAATTTTATCCTCTGAATTTAATGCACATAATCGAAAACATTTTTCGCGCAAATTTGCGACGATTACAATCGATAATAATGAGAATAAGGTACACGAGCAATAAGATAATAAAACGATAAAGTCATCGTGTTCGCCGTCGCCCTCCCTTATCGACAGTATGCATATGTGTAAGTAATATATTCTAGTGTCATTATACATTATGCTTAGCAGATATCGCTCGAAGATTTTACCTAAAATCCACGTGGCAACAAATAACCAAGTTCCTTAATTACTTTCATTATTCTGGCGGTTGAACTCTCATACAAAGTCAAAAAGCGGAAAGGAGATAACTGATATCAGGATGCTACGAATAATCGTGTCGAGCACACATACATAAAGTATACTTAACGTATAAAAACTCATTCTGAGTGAAACGCGCGAAGTCTATTGTTTCTCATTCTCGACTTTCTCTTGCACTATTATATGCCAGAGAGTAATAATACTAATTGTAATTATTATATCGCTATTTTTCAAACGTAAAATAAAAAAAAAGAAAAATTACAAATAATATGTTTACATTCTAAAAGAAATTGAAAATTCCTTTAAAATAGATATCACGTTAGCAAACGGAACTTGACGACGCAAAAGATATGATAAGAATGTCGGAAAAGTTTCGGATGTGCTAAAAATTCAAAAAAAAAGATTCGAGACTTATAAATATTAATTAAAAATTATATTACCTGTTTTCCATGAAGAGAAATTAATTTTGCATGGTTCCAAAACCATGTTGATGTTTTTGTTATAGCACTGGAAATAATTGTTTATCAAACAAATATAATTAAATATTTCAATCATCAATATTTTCCTACAATTATTTTGCAATAATTGTGTAAAGCAAGTAAAAAAATCAGTAGTAATATAATCACGTGTGTGAATATGAAGGATAATTGACTTTTGACAGTGTTTCCAATAAATAGATTTTTCCATTAAGTTTTGCTTTATCATCATCGGCATCGATCCGAAAGTTTCCCGACTATGACTAAATCATTAGAAACATTGTCGAAAACAATCACGCACACAATGCCAGAAATTATTTACAATAATCACAGGTAAATCGATAATGACTCCGTGGAAGAGATTCGCCGCCATTTCGAGGTTCGCTTAAAGTAAATCCTAACTTCTAGCTAGTATATCGTCTAGCAATTAAAAAAGAACGAAAGAAAATGGAGACAAGAGAAGACAAAGAAGGAACGGTGAACAGTCGAAGGAACGATGGATCGACTGAAGGAATGAAAACGAATCGCTATAACATTATCACTATACGAATACATTATACGAGTAACGAATTTGCTGCGCGGACCAAACGCAAGATATGTGCCGCGATTGAATAATCGAATTTTTGTGAGAGGAATGTCGTGCCTTTGATTGTATGATAAATGAGAATTATATGACGAAATTTACACGATTTTAATAGATTTTAGGATTGCGTTACGTGAAAGAAAAGCAAGTAAATGGAACGAAGTAAGATTGCTCCAGCCGTTTAATTATGTAATGATTAGAAATGTAATAATTAAAAATGCAACAGTTAAAGAAAAATCACGGAGATTTTGAGTAGTCCAAAGATCTTTTGACCTTCCCTTTTTACATGAAAAGCATAGCCATCTTCTTAAAGTGAAACGACGTTGCTTAAGTTTTCTAGCTCTAATTAGCACTTTATTTCCTTTCGAATTCTATTTATGATATAAATAGAGAGGAAAAACTTTAGAATTAACGTCAATGGAGCAATGCTAAGCTTGAAATCTTTATCCGTCTTAATGGAAAATTCAATTCACTGGAATAATCTCACCCCATCCAAAGTTCATACATAATGTCCAGATAAAGTAAACTTGCAACAGAAATATATGCCGAGTCCCCAAAAGAAATTATCGGAAAAAATTGCGCCCCGCCATAATCGATTCAGCTATGCTCAATCTTTTTCCTTTGTGCACTCGAACTGTGGTGAAAATATTCCGAAAGCATATCAATGAGGCGGAAGATAGATAATGTAGAAAAGAAGATGAGAGAAGAGAGCCGCCCTTGACAGTGAACTGCTATTGTAGATAAATGTTTTGTGTGTCTATTAAGTGTTTATATCTATATGTGTGTGTGTGTGTGTATTTTAATATAGATTATCTGCCCGTGTGTGTTTTGTATAATTTGTATATAGGTATAATACGTCTATAATGTATCTATGCACATATTTCCTGGTTACGCATTCATGTTTATGTGTGTATATCTGCACGCGCGAAGGTCCTTACGTCGATAAAATACACTATAACATTATATATGTACATTAACATGCGTAATAGAGGGGCTATTCTCGGGATCTGCGGAAAAGGGTCTCTCTGTGTAAGGAGCGTGAGGAAAAAAGAGCTAGAGAAACTCGTGTATCGCGTCTTGGACACAAGTTTGAAACCGCAACGTAAGTTAGACAAGATCGAGATAGATATAATAGATAAGTTTTTGTCGAGGGGTTGTCTAGGTTTTAGGCTAGCTGGAGAGCAGAGTAAACCTGTAGTGTGGTAGACGCTAGTGAACGAATATGCAGGGTCTTTGGTTTCGAGATGCGCGGCGTCCTCTTAGGGTAATGGCACTACGACCTGCACGTAAGTCACGGGGAAGTAACCGGTGCGACCGTCCAAGCTGCCCTCGTACCAATTCTCGTCGATTTTCTGAGTCAAGGTGATCGTGTCGTTTTCCTGCAATAAAAAAAAACGAAAGAAAATGGAGACAAGAGAAGACAAAAAATGAACGATGAACAAGACAACCAAGGAACGATAGATCGATTAAACGCTTGTTAATGCAAGCGTCGTTAATTATCCGTCTCCAAAGAAAAGAGAATAAGAAAATCTAGGAAAGAAACCTAAAAAGACGTCCAGACAAAGAATTAAAAAAATTTAGAGTAATCGAAATGTGAACCAAGCTCGTATATATTTATGAAATTGTATCCGAAATGAATATTTTGATGAAAGATTGTTTGAAAGATTAGGACATCTTAAAAGATATCGCACATCTTTTAAACATCTTCTAGACGTCTTTTCCTTAAAAAAACGTCGGCGTTGTTTGAGCAGTCGGCGAATAATATCGCGACTTTACCTTGAATCCAAGTTCACCGGGATTTTCGGGTTCGAAGTCGTATAGGGCTGTGCAGCACGGCGTTCTCGGCTGTGTTATCGGCGTCCTCGCTGGCGATTTGCTCGGTGAGGGCAAGGGTGAAGCTGAAAATAGTCGGCACGAGTGTGCTAAAACTACCGAAAGCGCCGGGCTAATCTAACAGAAACGCGTCGCGCTGACTGCGCGTGTATTGCAGTGCATTCAAACTACAACAACACTTAACAATCTGCGATCCGATGGTCGCGCGTGGATCATCGCGCGAACAACATCGTGCCAAGCATTGACAGCAGTGCGCGATATCGATTTCTTTCTAGATGCGAAAATAAAATAATGATATTTATGTTAGAATGCTCGAGAAGGTGAAAGTAAACTCCTCGATTAGAATCAATACTTAATTGAATACTCAATGAAAACTGCATGAGCTAATTGAAGCCTATGCAGCAAGAAGGATATAGTTTATTGATTTTTTTACGTTCAGTTAATATATCGTTTTGCGTAAAAATATATCTTATGAAAAAAATATATTCTTTCAAAGTTTACTTACATTTCTAATATTAATAAATTTTATATTATGTAATAAAAAAATTACGTTCTCATATATATATTTTTTAATACAAATTAGAACGCTATTGTTCTGTAAAATTTTAGCTGCATCTCTTTTGCAACAAAACGTAAATCCGATTTTATTTCACGTTTATAATTAGTAAGAATTTATTAACATAATAATTTTTTTGACATAATAAATTTTACGAGAGTTGAATTTATAATTACTGCGTTCCTTCTTGTTGTAGTTTATTTAATTACTTAAAAACCTTTCAGCACAATCTTTTACTACGGCACAGGGTGGCAAGGCACTAACAAACGTGCATATAGTGGTTGATTATTGGCATCGTTATACGAGAAAGCGGTAATTTCATCAAAAGAACAATGAAAGAGATCACCGGATCACAGTTGCACCAACAGTGTCGACTATTGATTCTGATAAAGAACTCGTTATTGGATTTCCAGAACAGTGTTATCACATAGAAAGTGAGAAACTTTAGGTAATTACGGGCGGTGTTAACCGCCCTTAACAACGCAACAGTTGGTACAACCACCCTCGAGCGACTCAGAGAGGGATTCGTTTGTTCGCTGAACACACAGAGAGAGAGAGAGAGAGAGAGAGAGAGAGAGAGAGAAAGCGAGAAGGAAACCCCCATGCAAAGTTTACCATTGGCAGATTGTGGCGGGTTTCCGGCCGGAAATAGCTCGAGCTGCGAGCGTTTCCCGTCCGCATGAGTCGGAGAGCCGGCTCGGCTTGCCCCTACATTGTGTCAGAAGGACAGACAGGTATGCCACATTATACACACAGCACAATCGGAGGAAGAATAGTGTGATAATGTGACAGTGTGACGAAAGTGCGCGCGCGCATGTGTATATGTGTGTGCGTGTTCCACACGTAATCACGGACATCGATCCTTTTAAAGAACCAATGTCCGATACGTTGACATTTAATTGACAGTACGATAAATGTATTAGTACGCGGAGATTCACCTTAGGACAAGACTAATCGAACATTGACATTCTCCCACCCATTAATTCTTCAAATAGATCTTTAGATAAATATCTTTTCGAATTATGTCATATGTCTAAATTAATTCTAGAAAATAAAAATGTTGAATCTATATTTTATTTCCCTTAATTCGCGTTATTCATTTTGATGGAATATATCAATAATTGTGGAAAAAATTAATATTTCTCCTTTTTTTCATTTACATTAACTCACATTAAGTTAACTGTCCAATTATAAAATTTCCATTATAGATTTAAATATTCAATCCAGAAAAGATTATAAAAATATAACATTTCATTCATATCGCAAGGAAAAAGACGAGATAAAATTTCAGAAGATAAAATTAAGCGGATCGTTCCGATTAGTTTTGACAGGCACAGATAGTACAATTTGTGCGAGAGAACAAAGCATAGAGAAGATTTGATATTGGGTGATTTCGCCGAAGGGGGAGGAATATAAGAGACAGATGCAATATATATTATATATATATATATATATATATATATATATATATATATATATATATATATATATATATATATATATATATATATATATATATATATATATATATATATATATATATATATATATATATATATATATATATATATATATATATATATATATATATATATATATATATATATATATATATATATATATATATATATATATATATATATATATATATATATATATATATATATATATATATATATATATATATATATATATATATATATATATATATATATATATATATATATATATATATATATATATATATATATATATATATATATATATATATATATATATATATATATATATATATATATATATATATATATATATATATATATATATATATATATATATATATATATATATATATATATATATATATATATATATATATATATATATATATATATATATATATATATATATATATATATATATATATATATATATATATATATATATATATATATATATATATATATATATATATATATATATATATATATATATATATATATATATATATATATATATATATATATATATATATATATATATATATATATATATATATATATATATATATATATATATATATATATATATATATATATATATATATATATATATATATATATATATATATATATATATATATATATATATATATATATATATATATATATATATATATATATATATATATATATATATATATATATATATATATATATATAAGAGAGAAAATATATATATATATATATATATATATATATATATATATATATATATATATATATATATATCGGTCAATGTGGAACCACGTAAGGACACGTAAACGCCGGCATAACAAAAATAAAGAGAGAATAAGGAACAGTTAGACACAGCCAGACCACCCGAGTGTCATCGCGCCGTGTGTGGAGTATCTGTGAAATGTGTTTTACCGTGAAGGGAGAAGTTCCCACCGTTCATGTGGTCCGACAATCCACCTTCCACGTGCAAATCCGCCAATGTCTTCGGCACGAATTCCAACTTTGGTCGGTTCATTGCCTCTTCTTTCCTAAAGAGTAAGATTCGTTCGTAGACATTGTCCAAGAAAATGACTGCTATACAGTCGTTCAAATACATTGATGTAAAAAGTTATATTAAGACTTTTCGCGTGTAAAAAATTTTATTTATTTATTTTAAAAAATGCACTGATATAAAACGAACGTGCATTATTCTAAAAAATTCTGGTTTACGACACAAAGTCAAAAAGAAAAAAAAAAATCATTGAAAATATATTCTCGGTCACTTCTGTATCGTGAAAAAATTCAATTTCATATTTAACACATTCAATGTGCGTTTACGGATATTGATTTTTATAATAATTTTTCATTGCAACGTATACTATTGCACAAACGTACTTTTCAAAAAGCGTCTCCGTCAACCCTTTAAGTACCTCGGTACACTGTTGATGGTACTCGAGAAGAGCCTCGCTAAAGGTTGCCAGTTGAGCGACTTGTTCGATCTGCAAAGAAACGATGTGAAAATCTTGGCCCGCACTTATCGATACGTTATTTTAGATTTAACGACGACGACGACTTACGTCGTTCTCCAGCAAATTGAACATGCCCATCTGCGCCAGATGGAGACTCTCCGCGAATTTCTCCTCAGCCTGACGAATCTCATCGTCTGAAACGTGAGAACCTATTCGCAAACGGTTGCCCCGCAAACGGCATTAAAAAGGTTGCACTACTAGGGTTACTTCCTAAATCTAAACACTTAAAATACAGCGCGAGAGGGACGATAAAAAAGCGTAATTAATTCTACGAGTTCGCAAGCATATTTCTTGGCACTGTAAAAAAGCGTGTGTGAGTATCGTTGTAGATAATAACTTGTGAAATTATCATTTCTAAACTAACGATAACATAAAACACAACAGAAAAATCTAAAGGGCTAATCTTTTAAATCCTTTAGATGAATCTTTTAAAAATATCTAACGGTATATTTTTTAGACATATTTTAAAAAATATATACTTTAAATTTCGGACGTCTATTGTATATCTTTCGGACATTTCCGAGACTGTTCTTATCGTTTGGAAATTTTAGTGGAATTTTACAGGCGACTACCAATGAGAGAAAACGTATTGATCGATGATATGTAATAATGGCAAAACTCCAAAAATACGAAATAGCGACAAGGATAGTTCCTAAGCGCGTAACGGAAGTCATCATACCAGCATACGACGATGAAGTGCTCGATCGCGCTGGGCTTCCGAAATGCGGACTAGCGGACCTCTTCCCAGTTGCTAATCGTTAAGCCCAACGAAAAACAGGCATATCACACCAATCAGGAAAAAGCAAAAATTATTCGAGGCAAATCATGATAACGTGAAAGAATCGCGATAACGAAACGTATTAACGTAATTAATCATCAGATATCTGTCATTCCAAACAAATTGAAAGTTCGAAATAATTCACAATCATTGTTGAAATTTTTTAATTTCAACAGATATATAAGAATTATTTTCTGTACAATATATTATCTGTCCACACACACACAATTAAAATATAAAAAAAAAACTTACTATATAAATATATCATATAAGATTTAATGTAAATTTATTGTGAATTAATATTTATAAAATATAGAAATACGGATTAAAATATTTCCCCCATCAAATCAAAATATTCCAAATTAATTCCATGTTTTTATAAATAACTCAAAAACAGTTGATATGTAAGCTAATTATATGAAAATTAATTCGTAATGCATATAAAATGGATACATTAAAGAAAAGTGTTCGCATTCCTTTCACTCTACTTGTAAATCCACAATATAGCGTTGATTTTTTATTCGAATGTACTCATGCAGCGCAGCGCGTGCGAGTAAGAGATCTTATTTCTATTACAAACACGAGAATTGCATCATTTTTATCTATTCATGCAACGTTCTCATCTTAACAACTCTATTTCGAGAGAGTAAATCATATATGAAACACGAGTTTATTTTTTCATATGCATGCCAACAGTAAAAAGTAAAGTTTTTCTTAAAAATCCATCGAGTCGTTTCGCTGGGAAAGCATAAGCAAAGAACCGAGGTAGAAATTATATAAAACTTGGAAAAAGAAGAAAGAATATTGTGCTCAAAGCGGATCATTCGTTAGGCAGAATGTAATATAGTTAATGCTAAAATTCGCGAAACTAAGATAGTATCAGATGAAATTTAAATTATGTCACAACAAAAACAGATATGGTACATTAACAAAGACGACAAAGCAATTATAAACTTCTATTTTCATATCTTTTTTAAAAGTTGCATTTCGTTTATATAAAGAAAGAAAATATGATATAATAAATATAAAACAAGTTTGTTATTCAAAAAAATGCATTCTTGCGGCTATAATTATTTCTCATAGCGCATTGTCCTCGGCGCTTTATTCGCATCACAATCCCGACAAAAAAGATTTTGCAACTGTGACGTTTTTTTTCTATCGAAGTTGTATATTCTCCCCTTGTCATGGGGGGCAGAGTTCACGACACCTTTATCTTTGCGAAATTGACGGTTTTGCAGTTGTGTGACCCCTCGCCTCATCAGAGAGCTTTGCTGTAATATCATTTTCTTTTACGACATCGCACGGAGATCACGATCGTGCGGTTCTAGCTCCTCCCCGTTAGAGATGCAATCTTCCATCATGTCGCGTTATTATGCGCGCATAACCGTTCCCTTCTGGATCGTGATTTTTATTTCAACTCTTGAAATTGCGAGCTACGAGAAGCGTTCGTGCAAGGACACGCGCGACGCCGTTCGCTGCATAAATCAATAAAGAGCGCGAGAGAACGAGAGCACATACATGCGGAGGAAAACTTTAACGTACCTTTCGCCTGACGTCTTCGCTTGCAATCGAAATCCAGCCTACGGCCTTGCAGTTTCTTCCGGTGGTGCTGGAACAACAAATCAGCGGAGATCGAACGTGTTGCGAACGTCAGAACCGTACGCGAAGCGCGACGATTTTTCTAGCCGCGAGCGCGAGTACAACACAACTTTTCTAATAACCGTACCATCACTTCTTTGAGATCCTTGGTTTGCAGATGGTGCAGCGGCTCGAGGAAGTTTTGCTTGATGTTGTCATCCAACGAATACTTCACGTCCGCCATCTGCTTCATGGCCTCGCCCATTTCAATGAGAGCCTGGGCTATGGGGATTGATAGGAATGAAAAATAAGATCATGTTTAGACAATACATTCTATCGAGCGATCGCCTAGGAGTCATTTCTCCACCTCTTTAATCATCAGATTACATTTCACGTCAAACGTCAATAAATTTCGATGCGAAAACAATGTAACTCGAGAAACCATTTTCATTGTTTAAAACAGTTATTGAATAATTTTTATGAAAAATTTCGAATGAAAAATCGTCGATTAAAAAAAAATCTTTATAGAAGAGAAAATCATATACGTGTATATTGTCGGACAAAATATATGATAATAATTTTAGTTTTTACGAGTAAATATAATAGCAGCATACTTGATGTAAGAACATTTTTAGGGGAGACGGCTTGTATCCGGAAGCATTTTATTTTATGCATAGAGAGAGCTGCGGATCGAATTTCTTTTCTCAACACGATTGTATCGGATTTAAATTGTATGTACCGAAAACGCTGTCCTCGCCCATTTTCTTGCCGTACATTAGCATGCAATCGCCGAGTACACCTTCCGGTTGAGGATAGGTGGAGGCCTTCGCCTGACCGCTGAGCTTGCTGATGCCCTTGACCGCTGCCATCTTCGCCCTCGCCGTTGGATTCGGTTGGAGGAACTCCTTCGTTTTCATCTGCAGCTCATCCACGAGCTCGTACGTGACGTCTGTTTTCTGCATGTGACGTTTTTATGTGAATTTCTTGTCTCTTGCCTTGATTCGCATTGATGAGAACGTCGAGAAATTCTTTTTAAGGCTTGCGGAAATTATATTCACGATCCGTATATAAGAAATGAATTATCGATTCGAGTGAAGTATTCGAGATATTATCCTCTAGGAGTAATATCTGCACAATTTCACATAATGCAGTTGTCAATTTAAGCTATCCTCTTGTTTTACAATTGTGTTTAGCGTTTCTTGGTTCATTCGATATGAGTAAAATTTAATCACTGTATTTTTGACAAATTAGTACATTTGCCTGAATCTTGGCTTTATAATTTGTAAGAAAAGATCGCTATCATACATTTCTATTTATCTCAAAATTAAAATCGACATAGATTTGTATAAAAATAGTAAACACTATGAGATTTCATAGAGAATCACAGAATTAAAAGCAATTTCACAAGGAATTGACAAAGCGTTTTCGAGAAGATTGTTCAGATCACCCGTATTATATCAAACTTAAAGCAGTCGATTGTATTTAGAAAGACGGCGATAAAACGTTTTTCCGGCTTCGTACTTCGTACGGAGGCATTAAGAAGGCCTTCTAAAGGTTGGTAAATGATTGATAAGATCATCGGCAAAGCCAGGAGAAGCCGGGTAAATCTTTGAAATTCAGTAATAATGCCGCCATATAGAACGTGCAAGTCATCTCTTTCTTGACGTCCTCACAAAGGAACCGTGCGAAAATGTGAAAGGCGTTCTTCTTCACTTAACACATATATACACACACGCACAGAGTGCGCAGAAATATACTACTCACCCTCTCCATATCCACAAAATCAACGTCGAGCTTTGTTCCTTCTGCTCCGCCCATCTTTTCCGTCATGTACTGCAAGAGAAATTCGTTATCTTTAGTCAAATGAACAATGCCTTTCATCGACTTTACGGATCTCTTAATCTGACCCAGTAAGATTAACGGGAAATATGATTCGTACTTGTCAAAACTTGGAAAGCTTCTTGTTAGTTAAATTTGTCAAAACTTTCTTATTTAACTCTTAATGCCGAGACAGTCAAGATGAAATACAATATATCAAAAATATCGCTGATACCTTATCTTTATTTCGCATTTTGTCAAGTAGCTGATAAGTATAAAATAATAATAACAATTTTTAAATATAATATTCACTGGATCGCTTCAATTATAAATATGAAAATTGTAATTTTAACAAGAATTTAAAGATTTCATCTGGATATAAGAAAATTAAAGCAAGAAGATATGAGTAAAAAAAAGTATATATAAAAATTTTCGAAGTAGATAATCTAAGATTTCGGGGGAAGGTTTTTTATGAATAAAAAATTTAAAAATCATAAAAAGTCGTATTTTTAAAATGTATCAAATTTTTTAAAATAGAAGGCTGGTATATCTTAGCGTTTAGAAAGACGTATAAATCTTAAAATTTTCAGACAAGTATTTCACGCTCGTGCAATCACCATCCCATGCAACAGGATTGTTCCCGGAAATCTTCCTGGTCAACATAAATCGCTATGAATACCAGCCTATAACATTATCGCAGACCACGTAGATTGGACAAGGTCGACTAATTGCTCGTAAGTTAAGATTATTCTGAAAGACGACAAAGATTTTCTCGAATAACAGGATATTTCCAAAGGTAAAGTCAGAGGTTAAGGCTTTGAAAAGTGGACAGAAAAAGAGAAAGAGAAAAAGAAAGAAAGGAAGGTTAAAGGCAAAGAAAATATCACCGACAGAAGAGTATGGTCTTTTCTTGGATCAATAATATAATATAATATATATTAACAGTTCTCGTCAATCATCGTGTACTGTCTCTAATATAAAAAAGTATACACGCCAAAATTCGAAAAATTGGTCAGATCGTTTAAAGCTTGTGACAACTATGTAATTTTTATTGAACAAATTTTTAGTGTTGGCTTCAAAACACCAAACTTCGATAAGTGAATTTTATTTCATTGAGTTACACATGTCAAAACTTCACATATGTTTCAAACAGAAATATCTTAAACATGTTTCAAACGTTTTTTATATTTAATAATTCGAAAATTCCGATAATCGGAAAAAATGTTTGATTAATTCGCGGCATCGCATTAAACAAAAAAATCGGCTTCCTCGACAATAAACAAATATAATTCCGTAATATAATGCCATATAATTTATTTTTCCCTGTGCGCGATTCATCGCATGCACGAAGAGGAAAGTGGAAAATGATAGTATTGTACGCGGTTATAATCGCGCTAAGCGGCCAGGAGCTTCGCGAACGGAATAGCTCGCAGAAGACGGAGACAGAGAGAGAAAAAGACCCTGACCCATATTTAACGATGACCCATTTTCAGAAGTGCGTACAAGGGCGTAGCCGTCATTCTGGAGTAAAGTTGACCCACATCGAGAGATTTGCAATGTCGCACGTTTTCTGTCTCGTGCTTTCGGCGATTTAGATTGCGCTTATGAGATATAAACATCAATATAATAGAAATAAAGTCACTACAAAATATAAAATATGCGGAAATCTTAGAAGTTAAAATTTCATGAGACATTACATATAGCAAAGAAAAAAGCTATATGGTAGCCTGTAATGTTATATTTTCAAGTTAGATTAAATTCTCTCGCTGAATCTTTATTAAAAAGAAATTTATAAAAATATATTTCATGATTATATATTAATATTATAAAAAAGAGCGTAAATAATGAACACGAGAAAATATTTTACATAATCAATTATCTAACTCTTTGTTTTGTTCCGGAGGAATAGAGAAATGGAGCTCGAGGACTCAAGATTTTATTAATTGCAAATTACTATTCGTACTTTCTTCTAAGAACGATTCTTATTCAAAAACCATAATAACATCAATTATATAAAAATGTAATTGGAAAAATGTCGCGCATATCAGTGAGACTGAAGCTCGAAAACGATGGTATTTATAATCGATTCATAATTCTTGCAACGAATAGAACTCCAAACTCGATCGGTTTAAATAAAAGCTTGAATTTTAAGACCGCGAGTAAAATTATGACGCGTATCGTAAAGCTTTTGGCACACATTCGGCGCGTCGCTCTTTCGGCTTTAAACGGCCTTTAAAGAAAGGTATCCGTGTCACGAATCCGATACAATTACCGATCTAAATAAGAATTAATTGCTCCGTTCAACGGACACAATTCGTGTTGAAACGTAACCTTTAAACTCGAATTACAATAACACAGCCACCGATGGAATACTAAAGTAATTTTAATCAGTGTCAAATTTCGCAGGCGTATATACGTTCGCATGCGCGATATCAAGCCGATATTGAAATTTACATATTGGTACATCTGCGCAAACTGTATGCTTGATATAAAAAAATAGCCACAGTAAATATGATCTTTCAAAAGAGACGAGAAAACAGTTTCAATAATTACAACTAATGATAATTAAATGTCCGTTAAATAAGAAATATTAAAAAATATCTATGTAAATTGCAATATTTATTCTGTAGAAATTTTATATTATTTTAAATGTCATTCATTTATATTTCCAAATTTTATAAAAGTAATGAATATTATTCATTATCTCTTATTATGATATATTTTTCACTTTTTCATTCTATGATGTACTTGTTATTTAACGATTTTTAATTCTTGTTATATTATATGTAATGATATAACAACATAATTTTAATTAAAAAAATATTTTATCGTGAAGCTACATTTTAAAAAATGTATATATAATTTATATTTATTTACGTATAGTTATGTGTTATAACCAGCTGCGCGCATTTCTTATTACTAAATTAATATAATCATTTAATTAAAAACGAATACGCGAAAGCGTTGTTTCTATCAAGAACCAAGGAAGATGTTCCGTTAATTTTATCCTTGTGTGTGCACACAGAGGATCAAAAATTTAATTCCAAGGAGACGAGGATGCGGACGCATCCTATTTTCGAAACCTCGCACGCGATCGATCCGCTACTAATATCATCGACGAGTCACAACATCGAGAAAGCATCAGCGTCATAAAAATATCCGTTCGCCATCGTCCTGATATCGATAACGACGAACGGGACATCCGCGATATTGCGAGGTTCGACCTGGCGGCATAACAGCGTCGACGATGCACTTATTGTTAGAACTCCACATCCAACTATACGCCTACAAACACACATACACATACACCCGCGCGCGTATGAATATATGTATACATATATCGTGGCAAATGTAATTAGGCTGCAGAAAGTGAAGTAGCTACGTGCGTATATTTATGTGTGCGCGTGTGCGTTCGATTCCGGGTTTCCCAACATGCTCGATGAGATAGACACGCAATTTTCACCGAGACGCAATATGTTACATAGAGGCGTTATTTACGTGTGCACTAATGCTGAACTATAGCTTTACGAAGATATATATTACAATATTAGCCGGAAATAAATTGCCCTTGCAAATCGTAGTAAGCCGATTAGGAATGTGTTCACAAATTATAGTAAATTTTCAAGTACTGGAATAAATATTAAATATAATTACGATTAAAGTATATAATCACTGTGTTCCGCGAATTCTTGAACATTGACTGATTTGATAAGCCCATAACTTTTTTTATTAAAAAATTAAATAAATTACAAAAATTAAAATTTATTACTATATCAAACACTAAAATTATGTTAATCAAAGTTTTGATTATTTTTACATAAAATGTTGAATATATTTAAATGTACTGCGTAAAATAAATTTCTAGATTAATATATACATGCACTAAACTATCATTTTAATGATTATTATAATGAAGTAGCTTAAAATGCATGCATATGTTATTTTAGAAATTAATTTTACACAGCGACACAAAGTGACATTTAGAAAACTTGCATAATTTATAATACAAAATAATATGAACACCTATTAAACTAATATTACATAACATAAAATGGCATGAAAAATAATTTTCATGTAATAAAGCTTCATGAAATAAATAAATAAATTTAACTTTCCCATTTTTTGGAACAAATCTTAATTTCCACATCCGTTATAAAGAGTATAATGCGGAATTTTTAATAACGTCGCTATAAGAATATTTCGAATACGAATACTTTTCGCACGCCGACACGTCGACCGACCGCGATTCTCGTTAGCTACAAGGATCCCGAGCACAATTAGGGAAGCAAAGGTCAGAAGCTACTATCATCGTGCATCGCCGAGGATTTCGATGGAGTGATAGCGGCGGACGCGCATTGTGCGATCCCCGAGAAGTTATCCCGAGACCGCGCGCGATCGATAGTTTAAAATTGCTCGTTACACAATCGCCGCAAGCTGCCGCGTGCAATAATTCGCATTGTTTGACACGGCGCTCGCTCGCGCTTTTCGCTCGATCGAACTTTCGCCGCTCGCGCGGCGACGCTGCTTCACATTTGGCATTTGCAGCGCGTGTTATCGAGGCCAGGATAACATCCCGCCAACGCGCGAAGTCGCCGGCAAGACGTGTGCTCTTAATGTAAATTGTATTATAAGACTTGGAGCTTGTCCTATCCAAAATAAAAGATATGGTCTCTCTATTAAAAATATGAGATGTTTCGAGGATAATGCATTTTTGAACACTTTTCCAAAAGAATGTACTTCTTTTTGGCAAGGAATATAATAGTATTCGTCTATGAATATATCTCACACCCTATGTATATATATACATATATATATATGTATATGTATGTCAGAAGAAATTACATATTGTACAGTATAAATATATAAAACAACAGATAATAGATATATAAAGTATAAATAAGAAAATTAATTAAAAATTAATGTAATTTTTCCGTTTGCATTAAGTTATTTTTTAAATCAGATAATACTAGTATAATAATAATCAGTACAAACACTTATGATATCATTAATTTCTACCAGATTATGTCAAAAAAAATTAACAAAAAAAAATCTGATGCGCATTTTAACGCACATAATACTTTTCTGTATCTGTAATTACGAGCAGCGTATGGAAATATGTAATTGCGGCAATTTTAATATTATGCGTCAGAATTACCATATACGTGGGATTTCACGACACGTAAGCATTCCGTTTAATTACGAAACAAAATTTCGCGTCAATGTTAGAATTTCGTAATCAAGTTTTTCTATTCAATATTGAAAGGATATATGCATATATGTGATATGCATGTTGAACGAGATACGTCTCCACCGTATTGCACAGATTTTCATGGTGCCAAAGGCAAATATTAATATTTGCGAAATTAATGAAAAGATACCAGAGGACAAAAACCATGCGAGTATGTTACATAATTATAACATATTTTTCTAACCAGCAGAAATTTTCTTCGATAAATTATTTTTAATATAAAAATCGAGCGAAGATCCTTTATATACATGAAACGAGATTGTAATAGATACAGACAGAAGATCTGGCAAGTACAAAGAATTTCAATTTAGATGAAAGTAAAAATAGTATTCGCGAAGTTCAAATATTGATTTAGATAGATAAATGAAATTCCGATTTTTATATACATGTATTTACGTTTTTAATAAAACAAAAATTTTTATTTAAAAAATTTACATGTTTAATATTAATATCTTGTTTTTATAGAATCAAGTAAAAATCTATTAAATCAAATAAAAAAATAGAATTCCCCGATGTTTATGTTGTACATTTACATTTAATATATAATAGGCAAATATTATATTTATTATATTAATTATTATATTCTATTTAAACTAATATTTAAATTGTGCGCTAAAATACAATTTTTTCTATGATCTATAATTTTTTCTATGATTTATACTTTCCAGAATTTTAAAAATCGCTCGTATTTATTATGATTTCATTTCATTAATATGAAGTACCACTGCCGATATCTGTTGAGCATGTTTCTCTCAATTAACAATTAGCCGTTAATTAGTCACGGTCGCTGCAACTAAACCTCAATATTTAGAGCGGCGGCAACCATGTCCCTCCGCTTGTCGTTCCAAGATTAAACATGATAGGATGATAATATTGCAACTGTGTGCGACTGATACGAAAATTCTACACATGACATACTGGACCAAATGATAATTAGTATCGACAAACTCGTCGGAGAAAGAGAGCTTAGCTGTCATCTCAGTAATATATGTATATATTCGACGGAATAAAGTTATATTAAGGAATCATTTAAAATATATACCAGTTTTCGCATTTGAACGCAGAATAAATAATATAACGTCATCTATTGACAAGAAAAGAATGTCCCTTTGTTATGGTGTAAAATAGTTTTACTATGCATTACGGTATTTCTCGGAGATTCTCGCGCATCTTATGCGTTCCAGAGAGTCTCTTATACTTCCTCGGATTCTGTGATCTTGAAAATCGCGGAATTCCTCAGTACGAGAACGTATTACCTTAATATGGATGATTAAACTTTCAACGATGTTTCGTGTATCGTACCACGTGTACAACATCGAATCGCTAGCGCGATGACTCTTTTTTCCTTAACGTTCATAAGCATTAAATCAATAACTTAATAGACGCGCGTAAGGTATCTCGCATGATTTAATTAGAGCAATTAAATCGCGAAGCAAGACTCGAATTTCCATTACGCGGATTTTTGTGTATGTTTTATAAAATTCTTCGATAAAAAAATGATCTAGACACAAGACGGTTCTTCGGATAATTCTATCAATCAATATTAAATATAGATAATTTCTGATTTTCCCATTTTTAATACACAAGAAACAAATATTTGGATATTAAAAACAATGTGAATAAAATTATAGAGCCTCAAGTACTTTATCCATTTCTTAATGATTTTAGCAAATAAATTATTATGCGCGGAAAATAATATTGATCCTTTAATGCGCACATAAGAAGATCATTGCCAAGCTTCCACGGCAAACAGAGGCACTTACCTGATTCGCTTTGTTGATCTGCTTTTTGAGCCCGGCGAACGCCATGGTGCTGTCGTGTCGTTGCTTCCTTGAATCACGCGCAAATCGTCTCTGACTGCAACAGAAACGGAAACGAGATTGTCAAACAGGGTTGAAAAGTAAACTCTTTTGAGCGATTCTCGCGTAGAGAGCAAACGCGTCGGAAAATAGGACGAAAGAAGCCCGAATTTATGATCGCGCCGGCTGCTGGGCGCTCGCCAACGGTGAACGAGATGATTTTCAATGCAATCGATCCTGTATATACTGCCGTGTATATTTTCCAGCATCGTGACTCGTCGCTGATATAATACCGAGTGACGTCGTATCGCTTCGCGTGCGACTCGTGTGTACCATAGTGATCTCACGCGCGTAAAATCGCAATCGTGCCGACCCGACTTCTTAATAGACTCTAATGAGAGCAAATAACATGTGCTCTTAACGACACGCAGCATGTATCGACTTCAAAAGTATATCAACATGTAAAATGCAAAGACATTTAATATGAGAGAGAGAGAGAGAGAGAGAGAGAGAGAGAGAGAGAAGAGAG